CAAACAACAGTGAGACTGAGAGTGCACCTAGCCTGGCACCTGGAGTGTCCCGTGACCTCCTCGTGCACCTAACCAGGCACCTGGTCTAGGTGGGTGAGTGTGTGAGTGGGTGAGGGAGTGAGTGTGTTAGTGGGTGGGTGGGTAGGTGAGTGGGTGAGTGAGTGGGTGAGTGGGTGAGTGAGTGGGTGAGCGAGTGGTGAGTCATTGAGTGGGTGAGTGAGTGGGTGAGTGAGTGGGTGAGTGAGTGGGTGAGTGAGTGGGTGAGTGAGTGGATGAGTGGGTGAGTGGGTGAGTGAGTGGGTGAATCGTTAAGTGAGTGAGTGAGTGGGTGTGTGGGTGAATGGGGGAGTGAGTGGGAGAGTGGGAAGTAAGTGGGTGAGTGGGTGAGTGAATAAGTGGGTGTTGGTGAGTGAGTATGTGAGTGGGTGAATGAGTGGGTGAGTGAGTGGGTGAGTGAGTGGGTGAGTGAGTGGATGAGTGGGTGAGTGAGTGGGTGAGTGAGTGGGTGAGTGAGTGGGTGAGTGAGTGGGTAAGTGAGTGGGTGAATGAGTGGGTAAATGAGTGGGTAAGTGAGTGGATGAGTGGGTGAGTGAGTGGGTGAGTGGGTAGATGAGTGAGTGGGTGAGTGAGTGGATGAGTGGATGAGTGGGTGAGTGAGTGGGTGAGTGGGTAGATGAGTGAGTGGGTGAGTGAGTGGATGAGTGGGTGAGTGAGTGGGTGAGTGGGTAGATGAGTGAGTGCGTGAGTGAATGGGTAAGTGGGTGAGTGGGTAGATGAGTGAGTGGGTGAGTGAGTGGGTGAGTGGGTGAGTGGATGAGTGGGTGAGTGGATGAGTGAGTAGATGAGTGAGTGGGTGAGTGGGTGAGTGGATGAGTGGATGAGTGAGTAGATGAGTGAGTGGGTGAGTGAGTGGGTGAGTGAGTGGATGAGTGAGTGGATGAGTGGGTAGATGAGTGAGTGGGTGAGTGAGTGGATGAGTGGGTTACCCGTGGGGAATTCTTCTGCCTGCCTCGCCTGGAGATCAGAATCATCGCACCTTTCCACCTTGATCTGGCGGGTCATCCATCTTCTCTCACCATCCTCTCCACCTCCTCCACTCCCTCCTCTTCCAACATCGTCATTGTCATCAGCATTGCTGGACATCACAGACTCCGTCTGGCCGAGGCACCTACAGCGTCATCACTGACAAGCACACACAGAGACTCACTCACCCACTCACTCACCAACTCACTCACCAGCTCACTCACTCACCCACTCACTCACACACTCACTCACCAGCTCACTCACACACTCACTCACCAGCTCACTCACTCACTAACTCACTCACACACTCACCAGCTCACTCACTCACCCACTCACTCACTCACCAACTCACTCACCAGCTCACTCACTCACCCACTCACTCACACACTCACTCACCAGCTCACTCACTCACCAACTCACTCACACACTCACTCACCAGCTCACTCACTCACCAGCTCACTCACCCATACACCCACTCACACACTCACTCGCCAGCTCACTCACTCATTCACCCACTCACTCACCAGCTCACTCACTCACCAGCTCACTCACTCACCAGCTCACTCACTCACCAGCTCACTCACCCACTCACTCACCAGCTCACTCACTCACCCACTCACTCACTCACCAGCTCACTCACTCACTCACCAGCTCACTCACTCACCAACTCACTCACTCCCAACTCACTCACTCACCAACTCACTCACTCACCAACTCACTCACTCACCAGCTCACTCACTCACTCACCCACTCACTCACCAGCTCACTCACTCACCCACTCACTCACTCACCAGCTCACTCACTCACCAGCTCACTCACTCACTAACTCACTCACTCACCAACTCACTCACTCACCAACTCACTCACTCACTCACCAACTCACTCACTCACCAACTCACTCACTCACTCACCAACTCACTCACTCACCAGCTCACTCACCAACTCACTCACTCACTCACCAACTCACTCACTCACCAACTCACTCACTCACTCACCAGCTCACTCACTCACCAACTCACTCACTCACCAACTCACTCACTCACTCACCAGCTCACTCACTCACCAGCTCACTCACTCACCAGCTCACTCACTCACTCACCAGCTCACTCACTCACCCATCCACCCACTCACCGATCCACCCACTCATCCACCCGCTCACTCACATACCCACTCACCCATCCACCCACTCACTCACTCACGCACTCACTCACCCACTAACTCACCCATCCACCCACTCACCCATCCACCCGCTCACTCACCCACGCACTCACCCATCCACTCGCTCACTCACCCACTCACTCACTCACCCGCTCACTCACCCACCCACTCACCCATCCACCCACTAACTCATCCACTCACTCACTCACTCACCCGCTCACTCACCCATCCACCCACTCACCCACCCACTCACCCACCCGCTCACTCACTCCCTCACCCACCCGCTCACTCACCCGCTCACTCACTCACCCATCCACTCACCCACCCGCTCACTCACCCACCCACCCGCTCACTCACCCATCCACCCATTCACCCACTCACCCATCCACCCACTCACCCACTCACCCATTCACCCACTCACCCATCCACTCGCTCACCCACTCACTCACTCACCCATCCACCCACTCACCCACCCACTCACCCACCCGCTCACTCACCCATCCACCCACTCACTCACTCACCCATCCACCCACTCACTCACCCATCCACCCATTCACCCACTCACCCATCCACCCACTCACTCACTCACCCACTCACCCACTCACTCACGCATCCACCCACTCACTCACTCACCCATCCACCCACTCACTCACTCACCCATCCACCCACTCACTCACCCATCCACCCACCCGCTCACTCACCCATCCACCCACTCACTCACTCACCCATCCACCCACTCACTCACCCATCCACCCATTCACCCACTCACCCATCCACCCACTCACTCACCCATCCACCCATTCACCCACTCACCCATCCACCCACTCACTCACTCACCCACTCACCCACTCACTCACCCATCCACTCGCTCATCCGCTCACCCACCGTCCACACGCCGCCCCGGACTCTGCATAGGAAGTGGATTGTGGCTGAAATGCCCCGGAACCTGCATCGGAAATGGGCGGGGCTCCCCTCGAGGCCCCGCCCCCCGTGGGTGGGGAGGGGGCGGGGCTCCCCTCGAGGCCCCGCCCCCGTGGGTGAGGAGGGGGCGGGGCTCCCCTCGAGGCCCCGCCCCCCGTGGGTGGGGAGGGGGCGGGGCTCCCCTCGAGGCCCCGCCCCCGTGGGTGAGGAGGGGGCGGGGCTCCCCTCGAGGCCCCGCCCCCCGTGGGTGGGGAGGGGGCGGGGCTCCCCTCGAGGCCCCGCCCCCGTGGGTGAGGAGGGGGCGGGGCTCCCCTCGAGGCCCCGCCCCCCGTGGGTGGGGGCGGGGCTCCCCTCGAGGCCCCGCCCCCGTGGGTGAGGAGGGGGCGGGGCTCCCCTCGAGGCCCCGCCCCCCGTGGGTGGGGAGGGGGCGGGGCTCCCCTCGAGGCCCCGCCCCCTGTCTCTCTCCCTGTCTCTCTCTCTCCCTGTCTCTCTCTCCCTGTCTCTCTCCCTGTCTCCCTGTCTCTCTCTCTCCCTGTCTCTCTCTCCCTGCCTGTCTCCCCGTGTCTCCCTGTCTCTCCCTGTGTCCCCCTGTCTCTCTGTGTAATCACCATCACGATCTATCCACTGCTGGATGGAGGAGACGAGTGTTGTGGTGGTAGTGGTGGAGTGGTGGAGCGGTGGTGGTGGTGGAGCGGTGGTGGTGGTTGTGGTGGTGGGGGAGCGGTGGTGGTGGTTGTGGTGGTGGAGCGGTGGTGGTTGTGGTGGTGGTGGAGCGGTGGTGGTTGTGGTGGTGGTAGTGGGGGGAGTGGTGGTGCAGTGCTCAGCTCAGCGCTGCGAACCCGGCGACCCGAGTTCGCTCCCAGCTCACAGCCCCCAGCAGCACCCACAGCCACCAGCAGCAGCAGCAGCAGCTCCAGTGATTCTCTGAACCGATCCTGGGCCTCCCGTAGACTGACTCGGCCTCAACTGAGTAGCTGCAGCTACAGACTACTAACACTCCTTCCCTTTGTTAATGCTACCCCTATCCCCTCCCTTTGATGCTGCTAATCCTGCCTAATGCACGGGGGCAAAACATGACTTTAAACTCCCGGCCAAACCTCCTACGCATTTCACAAGTAGTACTAGTCGCATTCCTGCATTTCCCATAAATATGCTAAATTCATCTTGATATGCAAATTCATTTGTCAAGGCGCCCTTCCCCCCCTCCAACCCAGCAGCTTAAATAGACGCTCCAAGCCTGGGGCTTGTCATTCAGACTCTGTCTACTCGACAGACCTGCTCTTCACCTGATGATGCTTGCTTGTGTTGCAATCGAAACGTCGTGAAAATTTTTGTTTAATTTTTATTATTTTATTATTTCCCTTCTACGTGACTTTACCGAAAGAACCAAGAAGATGAATCCCTGCAGTCACGAAAGAAGCTTTAACTCGAAACTGAGTATCTGGTGTCGCGGTATAGTGCAGTAAACATCGCCGCCACTGGGGAGACAAAGGCGGCCGGGCGTGGTGCTGGCCACCCACCCACCCCCCTCGTGTGCCAGTCCCAGCATCCAGAGCTGCTGCTGCTCGCTACCAACAACACCACGACGATGGTGGTGGTGGTGATGGTGGTGGTGGTGGTGATGGTGGTGATGGTGGTGGTGGTGGTGATGGTGGTGATGGTGGTGGTGATGGTGGTGGTGGTGGTGACGATGGTGGTGGTGGTGATGGTGGTGATGGTGGTGGTGGTGGTGGTGATGGTGGTGGTGGTGGTGGTGATGGTGGTGATGGTGGTGGTGGTGGTGGTGATGGTGGTGATGATGGTGGTGATGGTGATGATGATGATGGACATGATGGTGATGATGGTGATGATGTCTCTAACGCAGCGGAAAGGCAATTACGAACCCAGCGACACGAGGACGAGTTTGGTTCTTTTTACTCAGAAGTCTCTCACCAGCAACAACATCAACATCACCATCAGCACCATCACCAACATCAACACCATCATCAGCACCATCAGCACCACCATCAGCACCCTCACCACCAACATCAACAGCACCACCAACATCAGCACCATCACCACCCTCACCACCATCAGTCGCTCACAGCCAAAGTAACAAATTGGTTAGACTCGGGGGGGCGGGGCTTAGAGGCAGCGGGGGGCGTGGCCTGCACCTCCAGTGGGCGTGGCCTACAACCTGGTGGGCGTGGCCTACAACCTGGTGGGCGTGGCCTACAACCTGGTGGGCGTGGCCTACGACCTGGTGGGCGTGGCCTACAACCTGGTGGGCGTGGCCTACGACCTGGTGGGCGTGGCCTACGACCTGGTGGGCGTGGCCTACGACCTGGTGGGCGTGGCCTGCAACCTGGTGGGCGTGGCCTACGACCTGGTGGGCGTGGCCTACGACCTGGTGGGCGTGGCTAGTCGCTGGAGGCCCCGCCCCCTGTGACTCCACCCCCCCCACCTCCTGCCCCCCCTCCCCCCCCCGGCCCCCCTCCCCCCCCTGCCCCCCCTCCCCCTCCTCCGTGTTTCTTGATTTTGCGTTCCCAGAGCCTCTGCTGGTCCGAGAAGCCGTGCTTGCCCTTGTTGAACGAGTTGGGTCCAGCAGAGGTGGGGGTCTCTCTACACAGACGGCGGGAGACACACACAGAGAGACACAGACAGACAGAGACACAGAGAGACACACACAGAGAGACACAGACAGACAGAGGCACACAGAGAGACACACACAGATACAGACAGACAGAGAGACACACACAGAGACACAGAGAGACACACACAGAGAGATACAGACAGACAGAGACACAGAGAGACACACACAGATACAGACAGAGACACACAGAGACACACACAGAGAGATACAGACAGACAGAAACACACAGAGAGACACACACAGATACAAACAGACAGAGAGAGACACACACAGAGACACAGAGAGACACACACAGAGATACAGACAGACAGAGATACAGAGAGAGACACACAGAGAGAGACACAGAGAGACACACACAGAGATACAGACAGAGACACAGAGAGACACACAGAGACACACACAGATACCTACATAGAGACACACACAGAGATACAGACAGGGAGAGACACACACAGAGAGACACATACAGAGAGAGACACAAAGAGACACACACAGACAGACAGAGACACAGAGAGACACATACAGGCAGACAGAGACAGACAGACAGAGAGATACAGACAGACAGAGACGAACAGAGAGACACACAGAGACACACACACACAGACAGAGACACAGAGACACACAGACAGAGACAGACACACACAGAGACACAGAGACACACAAACACAGACAGAGAGAGACAAGGAGAGAGACACACACACAGACAGAGAGAGACAGAGAGACACACACAGACACACACACAGACAGAGAGACACACACACACACAGAGACAGAGAGACACACACACAGACAGAGAGAGACAGAGAGACACACACAGACACACACACAGACAGAGAGACACACACACAGACAGAGAGACACACAGACACAGACAGAGACACAGAGAGACACACACAGAGACAGACAGAGACAGAGAGAGAGACGCTCACCGTCCAATATTCTTCATCCGCATCTTCGCTTCTGGCGGCATCTCCTCTGGTTCACTCTGGCGAGAGACAGATACACACAGAGAGACACACATAGAGATACATAGAGATACACACAGAGATACACAGAGATACACACAGAGATACACAGAGATACACACAGAGATACACAGAGACACACACAGAGACACACACACAGAGACACACACACAGAGACACACAGAGATACACAGAGAGATACACACAGAGACACACACAGAGACACACACACAGACACACACACAGACACACACACAGAGACACACATAGAGACACACACACAGACACACACACAGAGACACACACTCAGAGACACACACTCAGAGACACACACTCAGAGACACACACTCAGAGACACACACTCAGAGACACACACTCAGAGACACACACTCAGAGACACACACTCAGAGACACACACAGGGACACACACAGAGACACACACAGAGACACACACACAGAGACACACACACAGAGACACACACAGAGACACACACAGAGAGACACACAGAGACACACACACAGAGACACACACAGAGACACACACACAGAGACACACACAGAGACACACACAGAGACACACACACAGAGACAACAACACAGAGACACACACAGAGACAACACACACACAGAGACACACACAGAGACACACACAGAGACACACACACAGAGACACACACAGAGACACACACACAGAGACACACACAGACACACACACAGAGACACACACACAGAGACACACACAGAGACACACACAGAGACACACACAGAGACACACACACAGAGACACACACAGATACACACACAGAGATACACACAGATACACACACAGAGACACACACAGAGACAAACACAGAGACAAACACAGAGACACACACAGACACACACGACAGAGACACACACACAGACACACACAGACACAGAGACACACACAGAGACACACAGACACACACACAGACACACACACAGAGACACACACAGAGACACACACAGAGACACACAGATACACACACAGACACACACACAGAGACACACACAGAGACACACACAGAGACCCCCCCCACGTCACCCCCCCCCCACGTCACCCCGTGTGTCACCCCCCCCACGTCACCCCCTCACCCCCCCACGTCACCCTGTGTGTCACCCCCCTCACCCCCCCACGTCACCCCTCACGTCACCCCCCCCACGTCACCCCCCTCACCCCCCCCACGTCACCCCCCTCACCCCCCCCACGTCACCCCCCTCACCCCCCCACGTCACCCCCCTCACCCCCCCCACGTCACCCTGTGTGTCACCCCCCCCCCCCTCACGTCGCTCTCCGTGTTGAAGGCGGCTGCCACGGAGGCCACTTTGGGGGAGAGGGACGCTGAACCCTCCCGCAGCTTCTGCACTCCGCAGACAGGGGGGGGGAGGGGGGGGAGGGGGGGGAGAGAGGGGGGGGGGGAGAGAGGGGGGGGGGAGGAGAGGGGGGGGGAGGAGAGGGGGGGGGGGAGGAGAGGGGGGGGTGGAGAGGGGGGGGTGGAGAGGGGGGGGGGGTGGAGAGGGGGGGAGAGGGGGGGAGATAATGATGATGATGCTGATGATGACGCTGCTGCTGCTGATGATGACACTGCTGATGATGCAGCTGATGATGACGCTGATGATGACGCTGATGATGACGCTGCTGATGATGATGATGCTGATGACGCTGTTGCTTCTACTACTGCTGATATGTTTATCTCTGATGCTGATGGCACTGCTGCTGATGGCACTGCGACTGTTGATGCTGCTGCTGCTGTGAATGCTGCTGATAACACTGCTGATGCTGCTGCTACTGCTGATGGCACTGCTGCTGATGACACTGCTGATGCTGATAACACTGCTGATGCTGAAGACACGGCTGCTGCTACTTCTGATGGCACTGCTGCTACTACTGCTGATGCTCCTACTTGTGACACTGCTACTGCTGCTGATGACAATGCTGCTACTGATGCTGCTGTATGTCTGCGTGTGTGTGTGTCTGTCTGTGTGTGTCTGTCTGTGTGTGTGTCTGTGTGTGTGTCTGTCTGTGTGTGTCTGTGTGTGTGTGTCTGTCTGTGTATGTCTGCGTGTGTCTGTGTGTGTGTGTCTGTGTGTGTGTGTCTGTCGGTGGGTGTGTGTCTGTGTGTGTGTGTCTGTGTGTGTCTGTCTGTGTGTCTGTGTGTGTCTGTCTGTGTGTGTCTGTGTGTGTCTGTGTGTGTGTCTGTCTGTCTGTGTGTGTCTGTGTGTGTGTCTGTCTGTGTGTGTGTGTCTGTCGGTGGATGTGTGTCTGTGTGTGTGTGTCTGTGTGTGTATGTCTGTCGGTGGGTGTGTGTGTGTCTGTGTATGTCTGTCGGTGGGTGTCTGTGTGTGTGTCTGTCTGTGTGTGTGTGTCTGTGTGTGTGTGTCTGTCGGTGGGTGTGTGTGTCTGTGTGTGTGTGTCTGTGTGTGTCTGTCTGTGTGTGTCTGTGTGTGTCTGTCTGTGTGTGTCTGTGTGTGTGTCTGTCTGTCTGTGTGTGTCTGTGTGTGTGTCTGTCTGTGTGTGTCTGTGTGTGTGTGTCTGTCTGTCTGTGTGTGTCTGTGTGTGTGTCTGTCTGTGTGTGTCTGTGTGTGTGTGTCTGTCGGTGGGTGTGTGTCTGTGTGTGTGTGTCTGTCGGTGGATGTACATGAGGACCCCATTCAAACCCATATTGGCCTGGTCTCGGCTAGCTGATGAAAGTTGCGAGGATTTCATCATCGCTCGCGGCTGGGGTTGGCATCGTCCCCCACTCCTCCTGATGTCGAGTGGAAATGTGCGAAGTTTAGGACTGTGGCTCATGCAGCTGCAACGGCTGCTTTGAGTACGTGGTCCAGACCTCCCCAGAGACCCTGGCTGACAGAGGAGGCGTTCAGGCTGGCTGAGAAAAAACGACAGGCCCACTCTCATCGGCTACAGCATCCCACGTCAGAGAATGAGGAGGCTTACCGCAGCCTTCGCTCGGAGGTTCGGAGAGCCGTGAGGCGCTGCAAGGATGGGTGGTGGTCGCGGGTTGCTGAGGAGATGGAGTCTGCCTCAGTGGCTCGCGATCACAAATCGCTCTTTAACTCCACCAAAAAAGTAACCTGCAGCGCCACACCTATCACCATCATCAGGGGAAAGAACGGTGATCCAATCAATCTCCGACCCCCAGGAACAGGTTTGCAGATTTGCTGAGCATTTCTGTGAGGTCCTGGGGGAGGGGAAATCCCTCAGCCAGGAAAACATCGCGGGGCAAAGTGGTGATCGTCAACCATCTGACGTATGCTGATGGTCTGGTGATTGTTGGAGACGCTGCTGCTGAACCTGGAGCTTGCCACTAAGAGGTGGGATCTTACCATCAGCCCCACCAAAACTAGGCACCTGCCTCAGTATTTTGTGCCACCAATACTCCACCCTCTCAGCTCCCCATTGGTGACGGGGCAGTTGTGGAGAGAGTGGAGAGTTTCCCAAACCTGGGCAGTGTGCTGATGACCAGCTCCGGTTTGACAGCAGAGGTCTCACTCCGAATCAGTCGAGCGGAAATATATTTTCATCGGTTGCGTAACGCTGTGTGGAAGCTACCTGGTCTGTCGCTCCGCACGAAGCTTCAGGTCTTCTCGGCCACGGTCATTCCCTCCCTTCTCTACGCTTGCGAAACGTGGACCCCCCTAATGGAGCATCTTCGCCGGTTAGAAACATTTAGGCTGGCCTGCCTACAATGCATCCTGGGTTTAACCTGCAGGCTGGATTGTGTGAGGAGCTCACAAATCCATGAAAGATCTGGACACTTTCCCATCAGTGAGCTCCTCCGGCAGGCAAGGCTGGGTTGGCTGGGTCATGTAGCCCGCATGCCCAGCCACCGCATGCCTAAACAGCTTTTGTTCG